AGTGAAAGTAGTAAAGAATTGAAGGTGACTTCATGGGATTCTTGAGTGGGGGCGCCGTCCAAAAGATGCAGGACATTATGTATTTACTATTTAATGGTCGAATTTTGGGTTTTGCATGTCTTCTTGTTTAATGCATAAAAGTGCTTTCATTTATGTATGTTTTTGAAAATTTGGTAAAGAGGGTGGAGAGAGCGGGGATGGGGTTTGAATTATTCTAAAAAATTGGCTAAAAGTCTTCTATACTTATTTATCTTTATGAGTGTCAATGTAAATGTTAGATGGTAGTAAGTTGCTACTTTGTAAACGGGGTAAAATATCATTTTTAGTCTATTTATATTGGTCATTTTCTAACAAAGGTCCACTTTTTTACACCATCATATTTAGTACATAATTTGAATAATTCATCAAATAACATACTAATCATTAGTGGCAGGATAAAGACTAGATTATCACGGGCTCGACGCAGGCTAATCACGGGCTGAAAATGTATAGTTTGTGCATATATTTTAAACGGAAAATTGACTAAGCAAACGAAGTCCATTTTCTTTGAAATTTTGGCTATATGACCGTGTTGACGCAAGGAATTCAAAGGTGGACCACATACTTGAAACTGACGTGAGACGATATCATAATTAAGTTGAAAACAGAACAACTTATATTATTTTAGACGAAAAATTGACTGGGCAAATGTAATCTAATTGAGCTAAAAATTGACTGGGCCTAAGCAAGGTACCTACTCTCCTATCGTATGCTTGAACGAAAACAGTGAATAAAGCTCAGAATTTGGATAAAAATAAGCTTGCCAGAATTTCGCCGGAAAAATAGAGTAATGAACCTCCAAACCAAAGCACAAAAATAATAGAGAGAAAATAGAATGGATTTCCCAACTTAAAAGTTGGGAAATGAGGGGTTGTCTAAAAATACAAAGCACAATGTCTATTTATAGCTACACCACAGACACACACTAAAAACACACACATTCACTAAAATTCTACATTTCGCGGGTCTCGAAACTGGTTTCGCAGAGAGTGTGGCATTATTTGGTGCTGGCAGGGTGCGTTCGCGGGTCGCTAAAATGATTTCGCTGAGAGTGTGGGCATGGAGTAGTGTAGCTCGGCGCGTTCGCAGGTCGCCAACGAAGTTATGCTGCGAGTTCAGGCCTTGGGTGCTGTGGTGCAGCGTTTGGCGGGTCGCCACTTCCTTCGCGCAGCGAGTCCGGGCCAGGGTTGTCGCACACAAGCCATTTCGCAGGTCGCCAGAATATGTTCGCAGCGAGTGCACGAGAGTTCTTGTGGGCGGGAGCGTTTGGCACGCCGCGAAAACATTTTCGCGGCGAGTGCCCAAGTGCTGATGGGAGCTTCGCGTCGCGTCTCGCTGGTCGCGAGTGTGGCTCGCGAGTCTGTGTTCGCAACGAGCGCTCGGCTGCTCCCTGTGACTCGGATGGCTAGATCAAGTGGCTCGGTTGGTTCGTCTCGAAATGGCTCGACATCAAAATCATGGAAAATAGCTCGGACAATATCTCGTCTTCCCGATCGTGCATAAAAGACCTATCACACCAAAAGAGACAAGAAAATATGCCGAAATACAAAAACACATAACGAAAATGAAAACGCATAAAACGCAATAAAATGGACCGGTTAACACTAAAACGAACCTAAAAACGACTCGACTAAAGCACATAAAATACATAAAAATAAGCACAAAAACATAACAAACATAGGCCAATAATCCAATCACATCACCTACACAGAAGGAAAGACGTTAACTCTTAGACGAGTTTTAGCTCAACAAGCTCGTCTAGAGTGAGAGAACTAGTTGATATAGCATCCATAAAGTTAGTCCGGTTTAGCCTAAGATTTATGGTATAAAGATTTAAGAGATTCAAAAAGTCTATGGAGCCATCGAATGGCTCCATTATGGTACCATCCATACCTTTATGTATTGACACGTGTCCAATGTGTATTTATTGTAGGACACATGTCAATACACCATTTGTAAAAAATTATGGATGACTCCATAAGCCGAGCCATCCAATAGCTCCATAGCAAAACCATTAAGAGATTAGCCCGAATATCTATGAAGATTTATGAAGTATTACTAAAATATATTTAAGTGGATTAAGTAAATCTATGACGATTTATGAAATATTACTAAAATATATTTAAGTGGATTGAGTAAATCTATGAAGATTTATGAAATACTACTAAAATATATTTAAGTGGATTAAGTGTATCTACTACTCAATTCTAGAAAATTTGATACTTTTTTATGATGAAGGAAACTCATTATCCTGTAGAATAAATTATTAAATTCTTTATAAATAAGATTTTTAGGTTGGCTTCTAGACTTATGCTATGAATAAAAGCTTTCTGATTATAATATATTCACCTTTGGCGTTTTGCAGGTTGGTCCGATTCGTGTTCAAAATATTTGAAAAGAGGCGGTTCAACCAAAAATCTTGATGGACCGATAATTCAACCACATCATCAATTACTCATTATATAATATATAGTATGATTTAAAAAAAAAAATATTAATACAAAGTCGTACAAACGACTCGTTATTTTATATATAGATAATAATAACAATAATTTTTTAAAAAAATTATTTGAAATTTAAATTAAAAATTTCTTTTAAAAAAATTGGTTGCCATTTTTTTTATCATGCCCGGTCTCTTGACGGGCCTTAAATCCTTGATCAATGGGCTTAAAGCTCGGGACGTTAAACGGGATGGCAACTGGGCGCGTCAATTCGACGATTTATTCCCAAATTATACCCAAAATAAAACATTCGTGTGCCCTAATTTTCTGTAAATTGGCGTAATATACTATTTGCAGGGGGAGTAGACGAGTAGTACTGGCTGAAGTTGTTGAGCATGTCGACCCTAAATACGAAGCTTCCATGGATATGTCCACTGAGAATCTTCAGCTTACCTGGGACGCAAGCTAAATCCAAAGAATAATTTTGGTGAGCGATAGCTACTTTCCTTTATACGCGTTTTTTTTTTTTCCTGTTTTCTTTTATTAGGCTTCATTTGAGTTGGGTTTCTGCTGTAGATGATGAACTCAAAGAGATAAAATCGGTTGACATAGTTTCTTATTTGTCTGTCATTATATTTGCCTTAAAAAGATTCTCGAGGTTTGGTTTAGTTTCGATTGGAAAATAAGATGAATTTCAGAATAGCAGGATTAAATAATAATATTTTGTATATCCAATGAGAAGCAATGGGAATAATATATTGTATCTCCAATGGATCATGGCTTGGATTGTGAAATAAACTGGACATGGATAACGTAATAATTGATTCAAAACATAAAATTATTTCGTGGACATCAATAATTTCTATATTACCAAATTTCTCTCGCCCAAAATCTCTCACGCTCGGAAACCCTAACCGCCGGTAGATCCTCTTCTCGCCGCCGATTCACCTTCCTCGGCGACGGCGACGCCTAGCCAGCGGTCGCCTCTGACTGCTCGGCCCGTCCCGGATGCCTCGCGGCCCGTGTTGCTGTAATTTCCGTGTGGCGTGCCCTTCGTTCGCGGGTGGATCTGCGATTGGTGGTGGTGATTCCCTGATCGACGACCTGAAGGAGTTTGGAGGTTCCCTCTCGGACACCAGTGGCTCGTCGTTAGGCGGAGGTAAGCCCCTCTATCTCTGTTCCGTCAGTGGTTGAAGTCCTCCTCGGACTGCTCTGCTTCTCAGGTGGGGCGTCCGGTGGGGTTTGGTTGGTAGTCGCCGGTTTTTTGCGGCGGCCTTGGGTGGTGAGTGGATCTGCGGGCGGGTCGGGACTCTGGTGGCTGAGACGTCCTTCGTCGGGGCTGCCGGAGTTGCAGGACCGGGCAGCTCTCATAACCTCCGGTTCTCTGGTGTTGGGGACTGGGCGGGTCTGGTGCGTCTGAGCTCGGCTAGTGGTGTTAGGCGAGGTTGGGTAGTGCCGGAGAGGGGAGCTGGTCTAGTTCTCTCGGTTGGAGGTGGGTCGATTTGAGACGGATTCGGGGCTTGGGTTCAGCTTCTGTATAGGCGTTATCGCAGTTTCGGTCGCAGTTCCTCGGGCTTGGAATCTTCTTGGGTCGATTGTTCTCTACTGTTTTGGGCTCGTCGGTTGGCTGAGGAAGGGCATTTTATATTTGTATTTTAGTTATTTTGATTTCGTTTGTTTGAGTCTGTGTTAGTATGTTTCTTTGGTCTTGTATTTTGGTTTGGGCCGTTGACCCCTGTGAGCCCGAGTGTCAAATTGATTGTCCTGTGGGGACCAGACACTCGGGTATTATCCTGTTGGGATCCTTGTAGTTTTTCTTTGTATGTTGTTGTGTTGGTGTCTAGTGAGTCTTGTTTTCGGTTTCTAGCGTTGCTAGAGTCGGATTTCTAGGCGGTCGTCTGACCTGTCCTCCCATTTTTTTTTTCAGTTTTTGGTTGCTTGTCCTTCTCCCGTTGGGANTGAAGTGAATAACATTTAATTTCGTCTATATATATCCTTGTTAGTTAGATCTATAATGGCTTTCCATTATTCAGTTTCAAGTCTGGGAAAATTGCATGAAGAATT